TATATATATATATATATATATATATATATATATATATAGACGGCCAGCCAGCCGATCAAAATATGACTGTCGACAAATTCTGTCAATTTTGTCGAAAATTTAGTCAATTTTGTGGCCAATGTAGTGTTTTTTGGAAAATTTGTGTGATGTTACGAAAAATTTTCGTATGTACAGAAATTTTTTTATCCCTAAAATGGTACACTGACCGAAATATTTTTGGCGACGGGGGGGGAGGGTAGGGGGGGTTGGGGGGGGGAGGTCGCCGAAATAATTTTCCGGAAAAAAATTTTTCGGTACAAGTCGGGCACAATCACGAAAAGTCGGGCAATTTTCTTTCCCCCCCCTAATTTTTTCCTTCCGGTACGCCCATGCACTGAAGAGAAGCTCAAATTGAACCTCCACTCATTGAGTGTGAGTGTGAGAGAGCTTTTAGAATACGGGCGATAAACTTTAAGAGTGAGTGCATGATCAGCACCGTGACAATCAAGGAAGCGATTAATTAACAATACAACATGTTCTTTTGTTATACTTTATACGAGACTTATAATTGGCAAGTCGAGTCTTAAAATTAACCGTAGAACCCACTCCTTGCAAATTACGAGCCACACAGCGTGCAAGATAAACAACATGACTGGTAGTAGAAGTATTAAGGGCTTTACCAATCTGAAATACTCTCCTAGTAGCTATCGACGAACACGTCTAGATAGGTGAGGCATTCGTATTTATATCACATGAACTTGCTCTCACCAAGGCATGTGGTACAACACGATGACATCAACGCATCCAGACATGCGCAGAGTGTTATGAGGCCAGAGTGCTCAAACAACCACAAGGGAAGTGACTAACTGTACTAACCATTAAAATAATAAAAGATCAATGATCATAGTTTTCAAACTATTTTCATTTTTAGCTTTGCAACAAACGCAGGCACTGCTGGTGAGGACGATTTTGATGCAAAGACAATGGATATAACGTTTGAACCTGGTGAAACGGAAAAGTGGGTAGAAATCGATATAACTGATGATAATCTGTTAGAACCAACCGAATCCTTTGGAGTATCCTTGGTGTCTTCTTCTGTAGACGCTGTGAAATTGGGAAATCCATCTTCTGTGAATATTCTTGATAATGATGGTAATTATTTTCTCGTATATTCATAATAGAATAACTAGGAATTTTATAGTAAATTATTTAGCATCATATGTGTTATAGGTAGCTCTTAATTGTTAAAGATTAACTAGAACTACAATAATGTTGCACCATAATAAATTAATTGATCACGGTGTAGTTGCTGTAGCTATTGTGAACTTGCTCGTGTTATTGATGATAATTTTGTTTTCTGCAGATTTTTTTTGTTCGCAATAATGTTTTACTTAAAGAAATTTTATTTCCATCTTCGTGGAATAGCGCAAACTCCTAAAAGCCGAGTTTTATAGAGGTTGAAACCGGTAGATGGATAGTCATCAATTAAAAATTAAATAATTCTTATTTAGGAAGAACAGTGAAACCCAGCTTTACAGCTACCTCTTCAATTCGGTTGCATCTTTAATACGGTGGCCTCTTTAATTAATACAATCACCTTGCTAATATGGTTATACCTATTTTTGTATCTGCGAAGCAGATATATTGCTATCGCAAACGTGACCGTAGTGTTACCGTATGTTAACACATAGCCATTCAGCGACGAGCTTATATAATTTAAGCAAATTTAAGCCAATCAGCGATTCGTTTACATCAATTGTTTACATCGTGCCCGCATCTAACCTGCGAACGGGCATACTTTAGCCTCGTCAGGCCTCGTGTATAAATCGTGTTTATATTCTTTCAAAAATATCTTGATATTTTTATCAATTTATCTTGAATTGGCTGGTCTTTTTTCTCGCCATTCTACTTGCGATATTATTCCGAAGTTATTTATCAACATGGAATCTTATCCTCATCTGGTAAGTAGTCAAATACCACATATTATATATTTAAATACCAAATTTGTGCAAATATATGTCCCACATATTTTATAATACATGAGTTTACACTGTATAAAATATTGGATATTTTCGAGGATATTTTAAGC